TGATTATTGGTTGATAAATATGAACTAAAATGTTTGGTAAATTTAAATATTAACAAAGTATAAAAACCACCATGGTACCATCCTTGAACTTTCAACGGTGAAAATCAAAYTTTCACAAATGAAAAAATTAGACCTATAAATTTTCACAAGTAAATCTCATATTCAACTTTCAATTTCATGTATTTTCCATTTWACTCTTTAGCTTATGTGRTATGTTGATCATAATAATCTAACTTGCTTAAGACAATTAGTATTAGTTAAAATTGACAAAACTAAAAGTAGGAGACTATCGTACACAAAATTAATTGTTTACAAACTTATTAAAATATTTTTAAAATATAGTGACTAAATAGACCATCTTAAAAGTTAAAGATAGTGACCTATTGAACATAGAATTAAAAATCAATCTATTTATATTACATACAGAAATTTCATAAACTCAATATGATTTTTTTAAAACTTGTACTAACTAAATAAACGAAAACTTAATTTGGGTCTGTGATTTGAATAATCACAGCTTCTAATTCTACCATGAACTAAATTCTTCTTAATTTAAAAGTTTACAATTATGACACAATTTCAGCCCTCTATTATGAACTAAAGTGTAGAAATTTAATTCCATAGATTTATTTTTCATATATCTATATTTATATTTATATTTATAACCATAGTAGGGAGTGAGCTCTTCTTATAGGTACAATTTCAGCCACTAAACACACGCATGACATGTGTTGTGACTACCGAATTGTTAGATGGGTCTTTCTTTGAATGATTTTGTTTCTTCTTTTGAGAACTAAGTTTATTTTCATATCTTTTTGAACTTGTTATTGCTTTATTGATCCATTATATTCTATTATTGATTAGGAAAATTATGGATAGAACTTGGATAAAAGACCTGAATAGGTTAAGCAAAGAATATAAAGAAGATTAGGTCATTTGTTGAATTGTCAAAGAATCACGTTGACGAGAGAGAGGGTTTACACGTTGTCTATGCAAGAGATGTCAAAATACTAAATGGAAACGACCCTATGATGTTGAAGAAGATTTATATAAATATGGAATGTCTCCATTTTATAGTAGATGGATTTTTCATGGAGAAACTCGAGATTTATCTGCTTATGTGACTCGAAGTGAAAACACCACACGTAATGTAGAGGGATCAGATGGAATTACTGAAATGTTAGACGATTTGACTAATGAGGAATATCATGGTCAAGATTACTCAACTGGGATTGGATCAAGTGATAATAGTCAAAGTGGAAGTAATAAGTTCCAATCGATGTTTGAGGAAATTAATCAAGAGCTATATCCTGGATTTACATCAATTTCCTCGCTAACCTTCTTGGTTAAATTAATGCATATCAAAGTACTCAATCATTGGAGTAATAAGTCATTCGATATGCTATTGCAGTTATTGAAAGAAGTTTTTCCTAATGGTTCTAAAATTCCAGAATCTTCTTATGGTGCAAAGAAGATGTTGTGTGACCTAGGTTTAGGATATGAAAGTATACATGCTTGCAAAAATGATTGTATGCTATTTTAGAAAGAAATTGCGCAAGTAGATAGATGTCCACAATGTAATGAATCTCATTACAAAATTAAGAAGAGTAAAGGAAAGAAAATACGGCACAAAATATTGAGACATTTTCCATTGAAGCCGAGACTGGAAAGATTATTTCTGTCAAAACATACTGCTAGAGACATGAGATGACATATGGAAAAGAGAAAAAATATAGAAGGAGTTCTAAGACATCCAATAGATGCTGAGGCTTGGAAACATTTTGATAGACAATATCCCTGGTTTGCAAAATATCTAAGAAATGTTAGATTAGCATTGGCCACAGATGGATTCAATCCATTTGGCAATACGGGTACGACCTACAGCACGTGGCCAGTAATGTCGATTCCATACAACTTGCCACCATGGAAATGTATGAAAGAAGTATATATTTTCATGTCGTTACTCATACCAGGGCCAAAGGCTCCAGGAAAGGAGATAGATATTTACTTACAACCACTGATAGATGAGTTGATGGAGTTGTGGAGTAGCGGCTTTGAGACGTATAATGCTTGCAGTGGTGAGAACTTTCGACTCCATGCAGCTTTGATGTGGATAATCAATGACTTTCCTGCATATGACAATTTGTCAGGATGGAGTACGAAAGGATATAAGGCATGTCCAATTTGTAACGAAGACGTTACATCTGCCCCATTGCATACTAAAATATGCTATATAGGACATCGTCGATTCTTGCATAAAGATCATTCCTGGCTTAAAAGTAAACAGTATAATGGAGAAACCGAACATAGACTTGCACCATGTCATTTTTCTAGATCGAATGTCTTTCACCAATTAGAATCCATTGAGTTTCTGCCACTTGGAAAAACTGTAAACATCTTACAATGGAAAAGGAAGCGATTGTATGCTAAAGTAAATTGGGTGTAGAAAAGCATCTTTTTTGAGTTACCATATTGGTCAAATCTTAAGATTCGACACAAACTGGATGTTATGCATATCGAGAAAAATATATGTGATAATGTCATGGGCACATTATTAAACGTCGAAAGGAAAACAAAGGACACTGATAAAGCACGTAGAGATTTAATGAGGTTGAATATTCGTAAAGAACTACATCTTCAACAAGTCGGTAAATCTCAGTAGGCATTCTTCTTTCAAGATGCTGTCACCTACTCCACTATCTAAGAAATTTAACTATTTAATAATTATTTGGTTAATTAAACGCATTCAGGGAAATGACACTTGTCATATGGACAACTATATTTTACACTTAGATTATTTATTTTTATATATATAAGAAAAACTGAATTTAAAATGACTGTTTTTATCACATGGTGATGGTCTAAGAAAATTGACACTCATATAAAGAGTATATTTAAAAATTTAAATATATATACTAATTTATGAATTAAAATTGTTAAGTTCAATAATATTAATTTAATGTGAGCCAAAACGAACATAGCTCAACGGTAATTGGCATATACCTCCAATAAGTTGTGAATTCGAAAAAAATATATTTAGTTAGTGAGATCAGGTTTTAAACTATTTGTTTATACAACATAGTAATATTCTTTGTCTAACTTGATTTTTTAATCAATGAAAAGAATAAAACAAAAAATCATACCCATAACCCATGTGCGGTATTTGAAACGTCTTCCTAGTTATACC